AGATGAGTCTGAAGGTATTGTTATTTGTATGTATTTTATAAATTTTTGCTGAGTATGATGCCTGTTTGTATCTAGTTGTGGATGGTTGTTTAAATGTGCAAACTGTAGTTTAATATTTTTCAATTTTCATCTAAATATTGTTTGTGTGTTGTTCTATTATGGTTAGCACTATTTTCCATCCAGCAAACTGACCTGACGTCATTTTAGGAAGATAGAAGAGGTGTTAAATGGCTATGTAACTAACCTAAACCCTACCCCTACTTTAACCCCTAACCGCAACTCTAACCCTAACCGAATTAATAAAAAAGACTTTAGAAAATTGATAGGGCGGTTTGCTGGATGGAAAAAAGTGCTAATTGTGTAAAATTGCTAATTTTAGAGATGACGGTGCATGAAATATATAATAATTTTCTTGTTATGATTTTGTAGAAAGAGATTTACTTGAGTTGTTGGCTGGTCATGAGCCTGTTCAGGAAGGATATGATAATGAAAGAGGTGATAGGGTAGAAAGTGATGACAAGTTAAGTGATGAGGAGGAAGAAATCAACCAGGCTGTACCATTCAAGTGCATCTGTGGGAAAAGGCATACCTCACTCTTCATGAACAAGATAAACCAGTGAATGTAAGAATACGGCCAGAGCCATTGAATCCAAGGGACCCAAGTGCAATAGCAATTGATCTAGACTATGGAACTGGATGGCCCCATGTTGGTTATATATTGCTTCTGAACTATGCACTGTATCCAAACCCATTAATTGCTGCAAGAGATGTCGTGGATGTCTAATATGTTCAGCATATCAAGTATAGGATTGATTTTTTTAAAATAGGATTTTATCCAAAACATTTTGCAGAGACATGGTTAGTGCATGGGAGACTTAAGTGGTAGGAAAAGCATGAGTGTATGTTGACAGATGTTTTTATATGAACAATAGCAACTAACTATGTTTAGCAAGTTATTGAAGTGCATTTATTTCAATTGGCTAACTTTTTAGATTTTTCCCAGCATTTTTTAAACATTAACCATGGGTTATAAATGATAACTTTCTATATCTAATTAAACAATCTGCCATGTACACTCATGCAAAATAAGTACATAACTGTAAAAATGTGCTTTAGTAAATAAATGAGTAATTTATCCATGCACTTGACCTACTTTGTTTGTAATTTTTTCAGATTAAAATTAATGCAACAATAAAACAAGAAGATGTCTATTTATATAATTGCACAGGTCAATTCCTGGAGTAACCATCCCCCCGGGACACCCCTGGGAATTTGCCTAATAGACAGTTCACAGGGGTCGGGAATTTATCTGTCATATACGTGTACAGGGGCCGGGTATTGGGCCCGGGTACGTGTACAGGGGCCGGGTATTGGGCCCGGGGATTTGACAAATGGTTTCACCTTTGCAAAACTTATTACCTGTGCCATGCGAATAAAGTTTTATAATATTCCATAGCAGCTTAATAGTATAATGTTATTAAATGAATATGCCTATGATATGCATTCATCGTCCCAGGGGTGGGGCATTTTCCACTCTCAGCTTGCCCAAGGGCCGTGCATTAGTCTCCTACTCCTAGTTGTGTCCCGGCACACTTCTATTAACTGTGCACTATCGTAACCAGTCAAATCAAATGCCCAGGTGTGTTCCCGGGGGGGGGGTTGATGGTTACTCCTGGAATTGACTCGTGCATATTTATTAAATTTCAATAAATTGACCACAATACAATAAAAATTTGTTTTATTGTTTTAAAACAAGTGGATCTCTCTGCTGGTTTGAAATGGGCTGTTATAACACTGAGTTGTCCATGATGAGGATTCCGTAGCTCGATTTGCAACAAAAACCCCAGGATCAGGCGATCAGCTCGTATGGGAATATGTACACGATCCAGTCGCGACGGCCAAAGACAAAAAAAAACTTTGAAAATCGCACAGATATAAATTCTACAAAAATATTGAAACAACTCCTAAGTCTTCTAAATAATATTTTAACACTTTAACAAAAATTCGTTGAAAATATAATCTTTGATGGCGCAAATTCTTTCCAAGGTATTAGACACCATTTTAGCGAGCGTCGAGTTGACAATTGTCCCGGGGGATCACCGGGATCATTCCAGCAGATTTAAAGCTTATATATTTTTCTTGATGGCTGCCAAAAATGAGGAAAATCGAACCATGAGAATTCTAGATATTTCATTTTAAACATTGTAAACATATTTAGACTTGAGTCAACACGTCGCGGGGAGTCGTCTAACTTCAAACATCAAAATAACATTGAAAACAACGTTTACCTTAGAGATTTTTGCAGATATCACCAGATCATTAGCAGTAGTACTATTACACTTGAAATTTTGCAAGAAAATTTTAATATTAATGTTTTTTCTCGATTTATTTTCCGTCGAATACAAATTTTTCTGCCCAAATTCTGCAGAAAACACGATGGAAAATAGAGCGATCTCATTGGTCGAGAGCTCACGTGACAACTCGCTAATTGCTTGTCCGATCCTCTAGTGTATGCCTGCCCATTTGTAGCAATATTCATTCTCCTAAATTTCATTCAATTTAAAACATCACATCTATTCAATTTAATATAAATATATATTTATATTCATTCACTTTAATCTTGCAATATACATTCAATTTAATCCTGCAATATACATTAAAAACAATCTGTATTTTATAAATTTATTAAACACACCTCTTTGGCCCACGTGAACTTTGTCTGTTAATACAAAAGCAAGCAAATTTGTCTTGTAGATTTCAAATGAAACGATTGAAACCATTCCTCTCCATTTCGCATTTCGAATAATAGACTCGGGATTACAAAATGCGAATGTAAACTCTCCATCTAGTATTGCTTTCTCGTCCTCTTCGCTTGACAGTGAAGTAACACGGCATCCACGTTGCTTAGTTCACGGACGTGAGAGTCAATGAAAGAGTTCAATTTGCAAATGACTATTAAGATGGGTTTCTCCAGAAAATTGTGGCTTTTGCCAAGTCGTCGTGCTACTCTCGGTGTTAGAACTTTGGAATATTAAACTCTTCCCATAACCGATAGCAAGATGCAAATACATCTTTAATGTGAATCAAATTGGACAAGGCGCGGTATTGATGCTCCGTTAAACTTTTAATTCAGTAAATTTACAATCTATCTATTAATGCAGCCTATAAAACTGCTTCTTTCAACTTTTGTTCGTTTATTTAATAATATAGACATTTCAAAATTCAAATGTTTCAATTCAATCAAAACACGAAACGCCTGCGAACAGGCTATGATGTTTACAATATCCAATCAGAACACGTAGTCTATCGAACCTATAGTCAGCAGCCAATCAACTCTTTGCTTCCATTTTTGAAAGTTATGTGTGGAATGTGAACCCAAAAACTACGCCAATTTCACCAGAGGGTTATTCAAAACAGGCGAAAATAAATACCCTCTGGTTCCAGGGTACGTAAGAAAGCGTTAAAAGAAAGCAATTATTCACTCAAAGATATGTTGATCGATGGTCGAAAATCAGAAACCTGCAGTGCAGAAGCCAGTGGCATGGAAGAAAAATTTAAGGGTGTACAACTTAATCAAGCTGAGAGAAAACCTGCTGAATCTAAGTGCTATAACTGTGGATTTGCTTACCTTCATTTGGATCGTCCTTGTCCAGCCGCAAATTCAACTTGTAACTCGTGTGGCATACCTGGTTATTTCTCTAGAGTGTGTCGAAAGAAAGAATCGCGTTGTTTTTCCAAGCCGCAAATAGCACAAGAATCGCCTCGACAACGAGAACAACCAAAAGAGCCGTTTAAATCCGAATCCACGAGAAACAAGCGAAGAAATCATGAATGGGCTGTCAACAAACATCTCGATTCATCGACGGAGACCAGTTCTGAGGAAGATTATGTTTACACTGTGGAAAACAAAAGCGACCCAAAGACCAGAGCAAAAATACGAGTTAATTCTGTTGAAATCAATTTCATTGTTGACACGGGAGCGACAGTTGACGTTATCGACTCCAAAACCTATGATCGCCTCAAATCCAGCGTCAAATTATGCAAAACTACGACCAAGATATTCGCTTATGGCTCAAACAAACCACTACCTCTTAAAGGTGAATTTAAGGCAACAGTAGAAACCGTTATACTGTCTCTGTTATTCACGTTGTCGAAGGCGGCTCTGCCGCTCTGTAAATCTACTTAATGCGAAAACCGCTCAAGATTTGGCATTAATTCAATTACACGGAACTTGAAACGCCGCCGAAACAGGAAGTTTCTAAACCGGAAGTTTCTAAACCGGAAGTTTCTAAACCGGAATCTGTGTTGACATAGTGCAGCCAACCAAACGATTAAGCGCGAAAGGCACATTATGCCAACGCTTTCTGATTTCCGTGCAGAAATGAATGGATCAAAATATTTTTCAAAAATCGATCTCAAACAGGTGTACCATCAACTGGAATTGAAAGAAGAAAGTCGGTACATAACTACATTCTCGACGCACGAAGGCCTATTTCGCTACAAACGACTGAACTACGGAACGAACAGTGCGCCAGAACTTTTTCAGAACATTTTGCAACAAAATATTAGTGACATTCGTGGAGTAAAGAATATTGCAAATGACATCATTGTTCACGGGAAAACGCGAAGGCAACATGACGAATAATTAGAAAACTGTTTGAAACGACTAGCTCAACTCAACTTAAAAGCGAAACTTGAAAAGTGTAGTTTCCTGCGCAACGAGATTAATTTCTACGGTTTAATTTTTACGGCAAATGGAACAAGACCAGATCCAGCAAGAATTGACAACTTAGTCAGAGTCAGCGCTTCAAAGAATGCCAGCGAAGTACGTAGTTTCTTGGGTTTGGCGAACACGTGTCGTGAGTATGTTCCAGAGTACGCCGTAATTACTACACCATTGCGGGATCTCACAAAGAAAAGTGTTGCTGTCACTTGGAACCACGCCCACCAAAGAGCCTTTGAGCAGATTAAAAAGAAACTGACACACGCGCCTACCATGGCATACTTTGATACCGAGAAGAGAAGCTTGCTTATTGTTGATGGATCCCCTCTCGGAATTTGTGCTATTTTAGCACAACGTGATAAGTCAGGAGAGTCGTATCGCATTATCTCCTACGCCAGCAGAGCCCTGTCTCGAAAGTCGATATTCACAGACTGACATCGAAGGGTTGAGCCTAGTGTGGGGGATAGAACATTTCCGACTGTTTCTTCTGGGTACTGAATTCGATGTTTATACTGACCACAAAGCTCTGGAAGCAATCTTCAATAATCCAAGATCAAAACCCCCAGTGGACAATACTTACTTTTCGTGACTGACACATACTCTAAGTTTCCAGAAGTAGAAATTGTTACGTCAACTTCAGCGAAAGCCTGCATCCCGAAGTTAGACTGCATATTTGCAACTCATGGTATACCGAAAAAGATTAAAACTGATAGTGGACCACCTTTTAATGGGAATGATTTTAAAAGATACATGGTTGCCTTAAGAATTGAGTGAAAAACAAGCACTCCGTTGTGGCCCCAAGGCAATGGAAATGCCGAAAGTGTGATGAAGCCGTTAGGAAAAGTGATAAAAACTTCCATGTTAGAGGGAAAGATTTGGAGACAAGAACTTCAAAGATTTCTATTAAATTACCGCTCAAAAGATACCTCCATGTGAACTACTATTTAATCGAAAGGTGCAAGGAAGTCTGCCCGAGCTGTCAACACAAAAGGTCGTAAACAAGCACCAAAAGGCCAAGGAAAACATTGACAAGAAGAAGATCAGTAATAAGCAGTACTACGATGCCAAGAAAAACACCAAGACAACCAAGATCAAGGAAGGGGATATTGTTATCAGTACAGCATAAGCATCAATACATTTGAGGTTGACCCTCCATCAGATTCACAGCATAATGTCGTAGTGAAACCCAAGAATGTCTAGACATGCCATTATGAATTTATGCACTAGTCATAGTAATCCCCGACCCCCCCCCCGGTGTCCAATGAAGGGATTTGGTGAGGATTTAGTGGCTTTGGTGGGGATTAGTGACTTTTTGTTATCGAATTCTGTCCCAATCATGTTGGGATTTGTTGTTTTTGTCATCCTGCCAAATTACGCCAGTACATTTTGTACTGTGTTGTCCAATGGAATCCCCAGATTCTACCAATGATTTTATACCATGTGACAAAGGTCAAAATAGCATGCTCGCAAGGAAATCGAGAGGTATTTTATGAATATAAATTTGCTATAATTCACTAATTACACTAGTTTGATAGTAAGAGATAAATTTGCTCACACGACTTTTCCCCAAAGAGATAGCAAAACTGCAAAAGACAAAAAATGCCCCAGAAAATTTTGTCCCATATGAGGGGGCATATGCATTTGTCTGTTTTGGTAACTATTCAAAGCCAATCCCCCACCTATATCCTGGGGTTGGCATTTACTTTGACTGGTGCATTATACATGTAACTGCTGGTATTAATTAAGTTAATATGTGCAGACAACATTGTCACCAATCCACACTGGGATCGAATGACGTCATATGTGGTAAGAACAGTCATACTGTGCATCTATAACTGAAAGACAACGGGGAAATGTAATCTATTTGTTTTATATAATAAAATTGAAAAAATTCCCGAATTAAACAAGTAAACAGTTTATTTTTATTCCCCCAAACGTTTGGAAGTCGAAATTTTGCAAATATCCGATCACGCGTTCATGATCTATACAAATAACGAAATGCTATTGACTCCCTTAATTCACGTGCTGAATTCTGATTGGCTAACCTTAGCATGCGCTAGACGGTAATAAATAACTAAATATTATAAGGAAAAACTAAACAATTATCAAAACAGTGAAAAACATTGTTTTATAGAAATAAAAACGTGTGATAAAAAGGCAATTATTTTGTTCTGAGCGACTATGGCGATTGAAAAGCACTTAAACATTGCCTATGTTGCACAAAGTGAAGAAACCGCTAAAAACGTGACATCGACAGGGTCAAATGACTCAAATAGTATTTGTTTTCGAAGACCGGATTGAATTTGAAGTCGCAGCTGAATGACTGAATTGAGATTTGCCGAGTTGCTAGCTTTTGTGAGTGATGTTTGCACATTTATCGAAGGTATTTATTGATGTTTATAGATTTAATTGCATGAATTCATTCAATTTGTATAAATTCAGTGGAATTTTCAAATATAATTTCGACATTTTAAAAACTAATGACGTAATTCCGTGCGTCTGTCCTCTAATAGATCATGGCTCTCGACCAATGAAATCGCATGAATTCTTGAAGTTATTACATAAAATGAAATGTACAATATTCACTTCCTCAGATTACTTAAATGGATCTCATTCAGACAATTCAGTACATCTATGTCGTCGCAGGCGTCCGACCCCAGGTTACGTCATCTCAATATTATTCCAAAAGGTAGCGCCACCTCATTATTATTCAACGTCGATGACGCCATCTCATTTATTATTCAAATGAGGCATCCGAGGTAGCACCATTCAAATGATGCGATAAAAATAAATCTACTTTAATCCTACAATCTCGTGCAAAAATAATGAGACTTTTGATATTTCGTTCTATTTCCGTGATTACTTCTCCCCTCCCCCTATACAATGTTGAAAAAAAAATTGACCTGACAATATACCTTTGTATCGTTTGTCCAACATTGGGGAGAGGGGGGGGGCAATGACTTAGTTGTCTCAATAATGTTTGCACGAGATTGTAGGTGGCGCCACCTCCAAAGTGGCGCCACCCTCTATGTCACCTCACTGAATCACAAACAACTCTTTCTATGACGTCACTTCCGTTATTGTATGGGGATTACCTACTAGTTATATATAGAACTCTGATATGGAGGGCAGAGAAACACAGTTTTTTTGTGAACAACAAACATGTAGTTTGGTCAGCAAACCGTAGCATAATTTAAAAAAACCCAACATAATTTCAGCTAATTTGGACAAAAAACGAGTACTGCAGGTGGCATAATACATTCATATACAAATTTAAACATACGAAAATTGAATTTTATTTGGACACGCTGGCCCCAACAACTTTATGTCGGTTGATTGTTATTGGGGGTGTGCTATACTGATGCAACTACAATTATATTATATACAGACATAATTATTTACATATTTTTATATTGTTATAGTACAAGTCAATATATTAGTGAAAAAGGAAATGTTCATGTCGAATTTTATTGATTTCAATTTTTTAAAACGTTCATTACACGATAGTCAAAAACTTTTGTAGATCAATTTATTTCTTCGTTCTCTTGTTCTTTTTCTTTCCAGCAGTGTCATTTGTCATTTGGATTGGTTCGAGTTGCTAGACTCAATTTTTTTTCAAGATCCAGAAGTTTAACATGCAGTTCAGCGTCGATCGTTGATTTCTCTGCATTACTTGCCTTTACCTGGCATACAGCATCACTCTAGAATCATAACAACATTTAACCATGATTTAACTTAGTCATTCACAACAAAAACTCGAATAGACCTTTTTAAAAAGTCTGCCTCGTGACGTAGTTTGCGGATAAATTGAGCGAAGACGTAGTTTGCGGATAAATTGAGCGAAGACAGGGGCGCCGAAGCAAAAGGCCAGAACGACATGCATCACTACGAATTGGATAATGCGAATAAAAACGAAATAATCGATAACTTCCTAATAGTTGATGAAAGCCAAAGAAACGAATTCAATACGGATCAACACCAAAACGAATTAAGACGGTGTAGTTATGAAATATCAACTCAGTGTGATGCAGATATAAAACCATGCCATTGTACAGAATTTGCCGAACAATTCAAGCGCATCGAGAGAGACATTGAAAGTCTAAAAAACAGACTAGAAATTGATGAAGGTGAAGAAATTGTGTTGGCCTATAAAAGGTTCAACTAAGAAATAATCTGGAAAGTGCTAACGCAAAAATAAAAGATTTAGAGGCGAAAATTGAGTTGCTTGTTTGTGAGAAGAGAAGCCTGACGACGGCAATTAGAATAATCCAAGAAGACAATAGCCAACAAAATAACAATAATTGTATTGAAAAACAAGAAAGCCCGTGGGTTAAAGTTGGAGATAAACAACTTAAGAAAAAGAAACGTAAACATCGTCAGGCCAAGAAATCGCCACAACACACTGCTGCAGAATCGGAAGAAAATTTGCCACAAATATCAGAAGAAACACAAACTGTTCAGTCTAACGACGTATTAAATGACCAAACGAGAGACAAACAAACGAAAGACCTCGAGAAAGACGACCCTGTCGGAACGAAAACCTACAAGAGCACTACGTTTACAGTGTCAGTTGTGGGCGACTCAATGATTAAATACATTAATGGTTATAAAATGTCAAAGGCAAACACTAAAGTCCGAGTCTCTTCTTTTGCCGGGTGTACTACGCAGGATATGGCAGATTATATCAGGCCTATTATCCGAAAGAAGCCAAATAAGCTTGTCCTGCACGTCGGCACAAATAACCTGAAGAATTGCGAGAACCCCACGACTTGTGCCAAGGATATTATCCAACTGGAAAAATCAATTAACAGGTCTATACCAGAAACCAAGATAATTATATCAGGCCTAATCACAAGAGCTGACGAAGAGATATTGGCATCTATAGTCAACGAAGTTAATGCAATGTTAAAGCAGTCATGCTTGGAAAAAAAACTGGGCATTTATTGAACATTACAACATCACTTCCCAACACTTAAACAAGAGTAAACTTCATTTGAACAAACAAGGAACAAGTTTATTGGCATGCAATTTTATAAACCATATATATGGCAGAAGCCATTAGGAATTTGCCGTGTGGGAACTGGGAATCGTTTGTTAATAACAGTGATGTACAACCAAGAATAGATGAGAGAAACTCAACCAATCTGGGTGAGTTGAATGAGTCTAATAATATCTCTAATTTAACTTATACAAATAATACAATGCCATCCCATCGTGGTATGGCAATTGCATGTTTAAATATAAATAGTCTCATTGCCCACATAGATGAATTGCGAATATTTATTAGCAATGCAAAGATTGACATACTATGTGTAAATGAAACCAAACTCGACCCTTCAATCAATGATCGGGAGGTATATTTAGCTGGCTATGAAATTGTTAGAAGGGACCGAAATGTAAATGGACGCAATGGTGGGGGTGTGTGCATTTATATTAGGTCTAACATAAACTACCAAGTTAGAGATGATTTGCATTCTGCAACTCTCGAAAATATGGTAGTGGAGATAAAAAAATCCCGCGATCTAAGTCTGTTTTAGTCAGTATTTGGTATAGACCCCCTGACTCACCAATGAGTCAATTTATTGAATTTGAAAAAATGATTGGGTCATTTGATGCCGAAAACCTGGAGTATTTTCTTTTGGGTGATCTAAATGTTGACCTTATTTCAACAACTGCATCACCAATAAAAAATAAATTAAAAGAGATATTAGATATTTACGGTATTAAACAATTGATTAATGAACCAACTAGAATTACGTCATCATCTAGAACCCTGATTGACTTATGTCTTATAAATACACTTTCTCATGTTGTAGATGCTGGAGTCTTATCCATGTCAATAAGCGATCATTCATTGATTTATGCAACTCGTAAGGGTCACTATGTACAAGGGGTACCAAAAACGGTACATATTAGGTTAATGAAGCAATTTAATAGAGAACACTATTTACGAGATCTTGAACAAAAAAATTGGCACAATGTTTATTGTTCTGCGGACCCTAATGTGATGTGGAAAATTAATTAGGAAAGAAAACTTAATGAGCGCAATTGACAAACATGCACCATTGAGATCCAGGTGGGTTAAAAATCGGAAGTCCCCCTGGATAACAAAAGAATTAAGACAAAAGATACGACATCGTGATAGTTTAAAAAAGAAAGCGAATTTATCTAATGATCCTAAAATTTGGCAGCAATACAAACAGACTCGAAACCGAATAAACAATGAAAGTAAGGAAGTTAAGCAAAATTATTTTACAAATAATCTTGATCTTCATAAAGGTGACATGAAAAAAACATGGAAATTAATTAACGAATTAAGTTCCAAAAATATTGGCAAAACAAATAGAGTGTCAGAATTAAATTTTAATAATCAAGAAATAACGGCACCTATGGATATTGCTGAAGCTTTTAATGACTATTTTTCGAGTGTTGGTGACAACCTGGCTGCATCTATACCAACCCCTGACCATGATCCGAGCTTTTATCTTAAAGCAACGGATAAGACATTTTCATTGCAATCTCCTACCTTTGAAACTGTTTATAAATTCTTAAGCGAAATTGATGAGAAAAAAGCTGTTGGGTTGGATAATATACCCAACAAATTATTGAAAATGGCTGCACAGGTGGTTGCACCTTCACTGACGGGAATATTTTCTGCATCAATACGTACAGGAATATTCCCAAACGAATGGAAGGCAAGCAGGGTGACACCAATATTCAAAAGTGGTCCTAAGAGTAACCCAAGCAATTACCGACCAATTTCCATTATTCCTGCCATTGCAAAAATATTTGAGAAAATTATTTCTGACCAATTATATGAATACCTAAACACAAATGAGATTTTAACTTCCTGCCAATCTGGCTTTAGATCGCTACACAGTACGGTAACTGCAATGCTTGAAACCACAAGTGACTGGTCCATGAATATTGACAATGGTTTAATCAATGGAGTAGTTTTTATTGATTTAAAAAAGCTTTTGACACTATCGATCACCAAATTATGTTACAAAAGCTAAGAAACTATGGTATTGATCAAATGAGTTTAACCTGGTTTGAATCTTATCTTACCAACCGAACTCAAAAGTGCCGTGTTAATTGTCAAATTCTGCCCCGGTGACTTGTGGTGTTCCCCAAGGTAGTAACCTGGGGCCCATAACTAGGGTTGAGTCGGTGAAACCCTTGGGAGTTTATATTGATAAACATCTTACTTGGCATGATCATATTGATAAACTATGAAAGAAAGTTGCATCTGCTATTGGTGCACTAAAGTGTGTTAGATCGTTTATAACTATAGACGCATCCATACAAATATACCAAGCGCTCATTCAGCCTCATTTCGACTATTGCTGCACGGTATGGGATGGCCTTGGGGAAACATTCAGTATACTAAATTACAAAAATTGCAAAACCGAGCAGCGAGAGTCATCATGAGATCAAGTTATGATACCGACGCAAGTGTATTATTAGATAGTCTGCGTTGGGATAACTTGTCATCAAGACGACAAAAACTTAAACTTGGTCTTATGTTTAAAACACATAAGAGTAATGTTCCCAGTTATTTACAAGGATTCTTTTCCATTCGCGGAACTGGGTATAACCTAAGAAATTCTGAAATAAGGCTGAATTTGCCTAAGCCACGAACAAATTACTTAAAACGAAGCTTTTGTTATAGTGGTGCACTATTGTGGAATAGCCT